CATTCTGCTTGTAACGTATACTCCTTAAATACTTCTTTGGTGCCTATTGCTAGTATGTTGGAGCTGAATCAAGTGCAGTCTCTCCAGCGCAGTGTCCAGGGCAAGGATCGTACCGGAGTGCCCGTCCATCATTACTGAAGGAAGGCTAGGAGGACAGCTCTCCTGGGAGGTGGTGAGCATCGGGCACCCTGGCGTGGCCACGTCACTTGGTTGCCCTTGTGACTCTGCTCTCCTTTCCCCCATGTGCGTTGGAGCCGGTTCGCAGGTTAGGGTCCCGGCTTGAGGGTTGTTGTTGCGGTTGGAAATGATTGAGTTGGTCACGTTGCGGCAGTGCCTTTGAGGAGTGAAGAGCTGAGCCTGAGCCATGTCCAATAAGCAAGCACCAAGCTGATGGGAGTCGCTCTCCTGCAGTGCACTGCTATCCTCATTTCTCAATGCTCTGCAGTTGGGAAGCTAGGTGCACAGACTAGATTCCCCTTGGATCTAGTGGATGATTAGGGTCCCTGACAGGATGCCCTGTGCTCCACAATCTCATATGTGCCTTAGAGGATTCACGCTATCCAGGTTGTGCCTGTTACAGACCACAGATTTCACACCAGCCAGCTATGCAACCAAAAAAGCAGTTTAAAGCCAGCACCTTCGTCTTGGGCTGAAAACGGAAGGGCAAGTGGGTAGAAGTGCCTTTGAGCAGTTTCAAACCCTTTTTACTTCTCCCCTTCTTGCAGTGCTAGCTCCGTATGTGTTGGTCTCCTGCTAGTATTGCTACCGAGTTGTTATAGTGGAACACAACTTATGCCTGCTCTGACACTCTGGCTGAAAACTAGTTTGTCGTTGTCTTTTTTAAAATCCCAGTTCGGTCAAATTCCTTCCCTTTTCATGACCTCTACCTGAGTAGTATCCACGCTTTAAGGCTCATATGAAAATCTCACAAGAACAGATCTCCTTTAACAATTCTGTCACTGCTTATTTCTGGTCATGAGAACAAAACTGCAATAATGATGAAAAGCCTTACTTGTACGGACTTCACTGCTTGGAACTGTGGAGTTCACTTTTACTGCCTTCAAACTGGTTCTCCATCTAGAGCTAAGGGACAATTTTTTTTTTTTTTTTTTTTTTTTTTTTTTTTTTTTCATGGCATTCTGTTGATTTTTTTTTTTTTTTTTCTCCTTACAGAAAGAGGGCCAAGGGGCTTGCAGGTTCTTTGCTATGGGGGAAAAAAATGTCAGGTTCTGTCCCCCTTCATTTAAAAAAAAACAACAAACAACAAAACTCTTTTCTCTTGCTGCTGCATCTCTTCCTAGTGACGTCAGGGGCGCTTGTGTGTGTGTTTATTTCAACAGTTTGAGTGCCAAGTGGGAAATGAGTAACAGGAAGAGAGGCTCAAAGAGAAGAAGTACCTGGTTCTCGGAACAGCTTCTACTGAGCATTAAGGCCTACAGAAGCGAGAACCTGCCTGACACCTGCTCGGCCAACTGTTCCTGCACACTGTACTTAATGCCTGTCACTTTTTATCAGGGTTTTTAGTAAATTGTGAAATGTCTTGAGAGGCAGAGCTGGGTTAAAGATTTAAAATTCACCAGAGATTTGGATACTGAAAATGCAGCACGTCTCTGAGGAGGGGGATTGTACTGCAGCAGCAGAAGAGGAAGCTGAGCTGGCGTGAATAACATAGCCTGAGTAGTGCCAGGGCAACACTAACCATGATAGCAAAGAAGCAGGGTAGATCTCTGTGCTGAGCCTGATGCTTTGGCTAAACTGCTACTAAGTTTTAAACCAGTTATCAGAGACTTTCTGGATACTGCTGTCTGTCTTGACCTGAAGCAATAGCTCAGCAAAGAGGGGTGAACTGCCCATGGTTAGCTCCGAAACAAAGATAACAAATGAAGCCTAAGATAACAAATGAAGCCTGGTGACTTAATTTCAATAACTTTTGTTTAATCTACAGTTTCAATCTCAGTGTTAGCCATTTGCCTGTCACTTGAGAAGTCCCCAACAGATGGATATATTTTACAGTATCAAAAGCTTTTCTGTGTGTATCTACCCCAGTCACCATTTGCACTCTGCTGACTTAAGGGTCCACTAAACAGTCAATAAAATATAGTGCAAGGGAAACGGAGTTAATAATACAAGACAGGCAGTGGTACTGAATTTCCGAACTACTCTTTGTTTAATTCAGTTAAACCTTTCATTAATTCAAGGAGGCTAGCATAAAGCTTACCCCTTTCCTACCTCTTGTCACCTCTTGCTATCCTATATTTCAAAGCTCTGAAGTTAGAGCATTGGTCTTGCTTCTCTAATCAATTTGGATATAGCAAATTATCTTCCCTTGTTTCAAGTCTATTTTTTCTCTCCTCTCTAGGTTTGTACACACTTACACCTGGCTGGCACAGTGCAGCACTGACCCTTTCTAGGACCTTCATGCTTTTCTAGGCCGTGCCAAGGGATTGAGATTTCTGCCCATGTATCTATAGGGCAGAAGCTCTCTGACCTCTTTCAGGAGTCTGGTCCACCTATTGAAGGCTGGAGTGTTTCTTCATATTCAGCTTCTGACCAGTCCAGTTTAATCTAGTCACTTTTTCTAGGTTCCCATGAGCTGCTGCTATGTTACTGAAGGACTTGCAAAAGGAGCTGCTGGATTTTTTTGTTCCTTGTTTGCTTCCTGTTGCAACTTTCTCATACAAAGTAGTCATTCTTACTTTGAGAACACAAACCACTCTGTGACCATTTAAAACAACTTTTACACAACAGAACTAGTCTAATATATTAAAAATCAGAATCTGGAAAAATAACTGACTTAGAAATGTGCAGGAACTGTCACCAATTATAAGCAGATGATTCTCTAAAAGAGTCTGTAGGACATCTGTTTCCCCCAGAAGACCCTTTAACAGTGTGTGACAAAGACAGACCTTTAGCATGAGGCCAAAATCACCAAGAACTACCTTACATCTCGAGAAGAAAGCAGAAGGAGGGGTATATGTTCGTCATAACTACCTACCATTACAGCAACTAAGATGAAAATAAGCAGATGATGCAAGGAAAGGTGCGAGCCCTATGCTTTAAAGGTCCCTAGCAACTTGGCCTGCAGGAAAACTCCAGTTTTTTTATCTTAAATCTAACTGTTGATTTAACCCTGAACATACGAGTGAAACAGCTAACAGGTTTTCTGATGTGAAGTTCCTTAGTGTACTGTCTGGGGGCAGGGGGTGTTTGGATTTTTTTAGCTGTAGCAGTTCTTAAAACATTCTGGATGGAAATTAAAGAATAAAAAAAAGATATCAGAAGCCAAGTTAGGAATCAAGGGAAGGTTGCCGTGGGAAGAAAACTCCTTCTCCACTCCTGAAAGTGATAACTGAGGCACAGAACCGTCACTGATCTGTTCTTCACACTTTATACAAGAAGCCTGGAGATAGGAACAAATGCTCTGTATCACGATTCTTAATTTCTAACTCCTGCCACATGCTCCCTTCTATTATCTTCTCCAAGTCCATCTTGAAACATTGTAGGTTCCTTGCCTGTGCTAATCTGTTTGGAAGGTTTTTCTATGACCTCACTCCTCTCCTGGTTAGAAACCTTATTTCCAGTCTGAGCTTATTCATGACCTATTTTTAATCTTGTGTGGCATTATTCTTTAATTAAGTATTTCTTCTTCTTCCCTTTCCTGACTCTGAGTCCCAGCTATTGCATGTAGTAAGTAACATGTTGGGATGGTTGTTCTGTTGCCTCAAGGGCCTGGCTGGTTCAGAGTATCTATCTCTGCTGTTCTATGTACGAGTTGACATATAGACTCAAACAGTAAGTGCCTACTACTGCTAGCTTTTCTAACCCCCTGAATTTCTGATCCTGGGCTTCTTGTGTTGAGGAAGCACTTAGTAATACTCCCCCCAGTTCTCCTTTTCTAATTCAAACAATGTCACACTGGATTTCTAAATGGTAATGTTACAGGTCTTCAGCTGGTAAGACGTAGCCCTAGCATTGTCACCAGCATTCTAGAAAAGCATCTAAATAAACTCTTGGGCTGCTGCAGGACAAGCGTGGAATAAACCTACATACACAGCTTTCGTTATTCAACTGAACAGTGCTACAACAAATAAGACAGAGCATGAGCAATGACCAAACAGCAGCTCTGGATCCTGTTGTCTAGCGCAGATACCAAGGATGGAAGAACACAGCGGTCTGTGTGCTGCAAAAAAGTTAACTGCTTACATGGCTTCCTCCCCTCCCTCTGACTTTTCCAAATGCCTTGTCTAAATGCTAAATAGTTTTGAAGAGTATAGAGTCTTTTCTATGGCAAAAAACAAGGAACCTCTCACATACCAATCTTCTGTAGGTAGCTACAGTAAGAATGCTACACCAGCCAGAACCACTGTCACTGTTAGCACGTTCAGGGGTGAACATCTGCACCTACAGAGCAGTTGAGCAAACAAGAGGCAGATGCTCTGTTTGGCCCAGCTCTTCTCATGAACGGCACTACTCTGTGCTTTTGGAGAAGGAAAAAACCTGAGTCTGCAGCCACTGATGAGCTAAAGGAGAGCAGCTATCTTCAAATCAGACACCACTAGTTAAAAAAGAAAAAAAAAAGAAAAAAGCCCAAGCCTCCCTAACCTACAGGCAAAATATGATCCTGAAGAACAGCCCCTTTCTGATGGCTGGTTTGCTCCTCCCTGCTGTCCTGCTGACAACCTGTAGCAACAGCCTTTCTTCCCTGCTCAGCTGACTGAAGAGTGACAGCCTTACACCTACACCGAGATTCCATGCTGAGCTCACTGGATGGGAGAAGTGGCCCCCAGAGGGGCACCCCACGTGGGGCAGCCCAGGGCACAGGTCAGAGTACACAAGTATGTAGTATTCTGCTCACGTGTCCTGAGCTGTTCACCTGCCGTACATACAAGCTGAACACTCACAGCCAGTGTTTGGACTAGGGAAAGCGCCAGCGTCTGTGGCTGGAAGCCTGGCAGAAAACAGGCAGGGAATCACAGCAGCAGGTACAGCTGGACACCGCCTCAGCAGCGCCTCCTCTGCGGTGGGGGTGGGGGCCTATTCTTGATGGTTTTGCATTTGGGAATGTGTCTCTCAGCTGCTTGGGGAGCAAATCGGCGTCGGCAGTAGGGGCAGGCAACGTAGTCTGGGTTTTCGATGGAGGGCAATGGGGGAAAGTCAGACACCTTCCCTCCCTTGGAGAGGACTTGCTGCACCTGGCGGGCCTGGCGCAGGGTCTGGATGAAAACCTCGTGCTTCTGTCTCCAGTTGTTCCTTCTGGGTGGCTTATTCTGCAGAAGGGAAAGGCAGTCAGAGCAACTGGCACCACCGTCAGCCTCCATTCTCAGTCTTATGCTCAGAGTCCAACTCAGATCACCCGTCCCTGGGCGTTCCCTGTTGATGTAAAACCCTCCCCGAGAAGCCGAGTCCCACAAAGGGGATCAAAAAGACCAGCACCAAAGAGGATTTGAAGGAAATACTGATGGAGACGTCAATACTTAGAGCTTGAGAATAACCAGAAAAGCAAGCAGTAGGCCCAAGAAGCCCTTGGGTTGCTACTGCTGCTTTGCAGGAACAAAGCTGCATGTTTCCACTGCCTTCGTTTTAATAGCCTGTTACCACCTGGATTTTCAGTCAGTTCCCTGCAGCCCCTGGTGTCACAGAGCTTTACTGCGGCAGACCCAGTCTGCACCCTGACTACACATTACAAAGACAAGTCAGTTAGGACCCCCGCCCCCCATCTATTAGATTTTAAATGGATCTATTTATCCATTTGGCAAGAACCTTTCAGAGGTGATAGCTGGATTGTACCCCTTAGCCTCTTGTACACGTGAAGGCACTCGCATTTCAGAATTAGATGTCAAGGTGGAAGGAACGTGAGCAGTAGGTGTGGAACGAGGGAGGCAAAGGGACTGCACATTACCTGAGGCCTCTCTGAGCTCTTCCGCTGCTGATACTGTTCCAGTTCTGTGCCCCTAGCTCTGGCCCTGCTGGAGTCAAACACTTTCCTCTTGGAGCCTTGGCTCTTGCCGCAGATACTCGTGTGCTTCTCAAGCCTGGTGCAGAGAAATTTACGTCCGCAGAAGCTGCACTGTCCGAGCCCCCCCGGCTCCACAGCACTGGCAGCCTGCATGTACAGCACCTCTGTGGACGGGTGGTCACCAGAATCTCTGTCCAAGAGGGCAGAGGGAGAAGGGCGATGTTTTAGGGCCAGCTCTGAACATGAGGCTAAACGCTCCATGGGTATGCGGCCTCGAATTTTGCTGTTGCTGGCCACCAGCCGCTCCTTCTTGAGTTTCCCCATAGCCAGCTCTTGGGAGTGGAGGGTGGTGCCAGGTTTGGGGATAGTGGCCTCTGCAGACTGCGCCCCACCAAAGACCCCCCCACCATCACCTGGCCTGACTGCAACTCTGAAAGTTTTCTCTTCAGGGCGCCTTGCGGCCTTTTGCTCATGGGTCCTCTCCACTTCTCTGTCTCTTCTCTCCTCTGCCTCGACAAGCTCCTTCTCTCTTTGAATCCTCCTAAGCTCCTCCTTTGTTCTCCTCAGCTTCTCTCTGAGGAGGGCCTCTTTCTTTCGAATTTCCTCTTCCAGGTTCCGTCCATCTGCCTCCAACTTTAGGATGTAGGCCAGCTCTCTCCTGTATAGAGGGGAGGCTGACTGTTTAGGCTCTGCTGTCCAAGGAGAGAGCACTGCATCTAGCTGAGGCCTCCCTGCTGGAGGCTTCCCTTTGCTCATTGAGCCAGGCCTACTATTTGGAGCTTCCTCCCTGTATGGGGAACTTCTGAGCTGTGCTGTGTTGACCGCTGGAACACTCACACCCTTGTGGTGAAAAATGGGTTTCAGGGGGTATGCACGGTCCACTCCTTCTTTGCGTTGGGCTACTGATTTAGCTGGCAGAGTCTTGGTCTGGCTGGTGAGATACTTGCTCTGCAGTCCAGCTGAACAGAAGCCTCCGTGCCTGGAGCTGTGTTGACTGCTTTCTGCAAAAAGAGAATACGAATAGCTTCGGCTTTTTCGGGTATAGAGATCCTTTAAGCTTTCCTCTTTGTCAGGTATGAGTACATGCTGAAAGTTGTTCTTCTGGTGTTCCAGCTGGGAACTGGGAACAAGCTTAGTAGCTGGCACCACAGAATCCACCGGTGGAAACAAAGCCATTCAGTGCCTGAGAAAGAGCCTGAGGTTAGAAGCAGAGTCATTACAGACTATCTTATCCAAAACTGGACAAATTTTCTCCTAACAGTATACACCTGGAGGCTACAACAAATATTAGCAAAGCTTTTGTAACTTTTCAGGGTTCTGTAAATCTTTGTGTTCCTTCCATCTAGGGAGCTCCCATGCCGCCTCTTCCAGTCCCAATCATTTGTGCAGCCAGAAATAAGATATGCTTTTATTTTGCTTTCTGTCTAAGCCCTGTCTCATCATGGTAGCAGCAGAAATATGCTGTACTGCCAGAGAAATTGTTATACTCCCCAGGCTGTTTTCCGTAACGTCTCCCTTCAGTTTTGGCATTATAGATCCACCAGTGCGACACACAGGTCTGACACGCAGGCACCCGATAAAGCTCAGTACAATCTTCCCGTGGCTCGTTCTACCATATCCCCCAAAGCGTGTCAGGTACCCAGGCCGCAGGCCGGCCCCGCGGGCGGCGGCGCGGGGCGGGCGGGGTT